AGGGAGGGAAGTGGGGCCCGGGAGGCAGGGAGGGGGGAGGGGTCCTGCTGCCGCTGCTGCTCTGAGTCTCCCCAGGGCAGCGCGGCGTTTCCCCGCCCGAGGGGGCTGTGCAGGCGCCGCCGGGCTGGGCAGGGGGCGGATCCCGGCTCGCGCGCTGACAGGGCGAGTGGCTGGGCAGCCCGAGCTGCCAAGGAGCTGCCGCCGCCCCCTCCTGCCTCCGGACCCAGCCCGCCGCGCACTCCCCCGCCTCAGCCCCACGCTGCCTGCCCTGGGCGGGGAGAGGCAGAGCCCGGCTCTGAGCGGGGCAGCGGGGGATACTGCCCTGCCGGGGGACCCCCGCGGCTCAGGCACCTGGGGGTCAGTGTCTGTCCTCTCGGCTCTGCCTGCACGGGGCTGGGGAAGCAGCTGTCAGCGCCTGCCCCTCTCAGCCCTTGTACCCCCCATCCCGCTCGCAGCCCCTCCACTTGTACCTCCCCCCATCGCTCCTTCACCGCACCCCTTCCCCTTGTCCTCTCCCTTCACCCGCACCTCTCCCCTTGTACCCTCCCCCAGCCCTCTCCTCCCGCACCTCCCGCCTTGCCCTGCACCTCTTCTCCCACAACCTTCCTGATACCCCCTCTCCTCCACCCTCCTCCGCGAGTACATCACACCCCGCTTCTCTGCCAGTGTAGAGCCCCCAAGCACCCCCACACCCGCTCCTCTGCCTGAACCCTCTTTACTAGCTCCCCATCCCTTTCCGGGTACAAAGTTTGAAGGTTAGTCCCTATGCCTTCCATGTGCATTTGGAGCACTAAAGATGGGGTTGCGGGAGACGGGGGTGGGGTGGGGCGAGATTCATACTAAAGTGAAATAAAAATAGGATAAACGGTTTGATCCCCACTGCGAGTGTAAACAGGGATTGCTGTGGTGAACGAGGTGGTCCCGTTTGAGGGGGGGAGCCCAGGACTGGGGCTGCGGGGGTGCGGGAGGGCACTGGTGGGGGGGCGGGGCAGAGCCCAGGGCTGGCGTTGGGGGGAGCCAAAAATTTTTTTGCTTGGGGCGGCAAAAAACCTAGAGCCGGCCCTGTTCCCACCAGCACAGCACGGGAACAGGATCCGTTCCCACAGTGCCCTTTGTGACAGACACTCCCCCAATGCTCCATGCGCCCTGTGCGAAGAGTTCAGTCACAGAGACCCCCTGGGACTGTAACCTGATGTGCTGAAATTATCACTTGAGCCTGTTCTCCCTGCCAGCCTGGACCCCCAACACCCTCTCTTGTTGAACAGACACTCTAACCTGCTACAGCACAGAGTCAGGGTCCGGGCCACGCCCCCAAGCTGCAAATCTTAATTGAAAACAGCACAGCAAGATCCCTATCTCCAGCACTCAGATACCCAGCCCCAATAGGATCTAAACCCCAGATAAATCCGTCGTACTCTGTATAAAGGTTATACAGGGTAACTTCCTAAGTGTTCGCCCTCTTTATCACTGAAAGAGAGATATGCACGAACTGTATAGCAATTACTTACACTGGGTTTATGAATAAGCAAAAGTGATTTGATTAATTATAAAAAGTAGGATTTAAGTGGTTTTAAATAATAACAGACAGAACAAAGTAAGCCAATAAGCAAAATAAAACAAACATGCAAAGCTAAGCTAAATACACTAAGAAACTGGTTACAAATAATAGTTTCTCACCGTCAAAAATGTTTCAATAAGCCTCTTTCACAGACTAGACTGATATCTAATCTGGGCCCAATCCTTTCCGCTGTTCAGTATCCCTTAGTTCCAGCAGACATCTTGGGTGATAAGCAGGGATCTCCTCACCACAGCTGGCAGCCCCCTTATATAGATTAGGCAAAAGGCGGGAGTCCTTTGTTCCAGCTTGACCCCCTCCCAGTTCCTTATGGAAAAGTCCACGGTTTAAAATGGATTCCAGTATCAGGGGACATGGTCCCATGCCTCTGTAAGACCCCAGTCTCCATTTTTCATGGGCTGATCCTCACCTACACAGGAGGACGTACAGGTAAACAAAACCATTCTCAGCCCATTGTTCTGAATAAATGGAGCAATCAAGTTCCTAAAGTATCATTAATGACCCTCACTTAGCATAATTACAATGGGACCTTAGATTTGTACTTCATATTCCTAACTGTAAATATAAGAATGATACATACATACAAATAGGAAAACCATATTCAGTAGATTACAACTTTTCCAATGATCCCTTACATGGGACCTTTTGCATAAAGCATGTTCCAGTTATGTCATGTTCATATTGATAAGCATATTTTCAGAAAGCATATGGAGCATCCCGTAACACCCTGATCTGGTCTGATTTCACCCCTGCGCAGGATTTCCCATTCCCAAACCTGAACTGATCGCCCTGCTGGAACGAGGGGAAGAGCCGTGGGTGCCCAATCTCCAGGCCTGCGAGGAAAGAGAGATCCTGAGAGGCGCCCGCACAGGTGAGGGCTGACACAGAAACCATCTGGGCAATGAAGGAAAAAGTTGAGAATCACAAAAATATGGTGTGAGTAACGCCCTCAGATCTTCTTCCTTCTCTCACTCAGGGCAGGGCTGTAGTCAGCAGATATCGCTC